TTACGCACGCACGCACCGCCCACGCACGCACGCACACACACACACACAAACCACACACAGCGATCACACACACACAAAACACATACACACAGTCTGGATGAATGGTATGGATGGAGGTTATGGATGTCATGGATGGCATGCGAATTGGATGGTATGCGCTCGAATGGTATGCGGATGGATGGATGGATGAATGGTTATGATGGATGGGCATCGATTGATGGATGGCATAGATAGATATATCAGAAGGTAAAAATAATAGCGTTAATAACTCCTTAATATATATATATATATATATATATATTTATATAGTATATATATATCAAGAGTGGATTTAATTAAGAGAAGCAGTATTGTTCACGGGTTTTTAACAGCGTTTTGCATAGTTTTTGAACTTGGTAACTGAATCTACCAATATGTGAATTAAAATGATATTCAACTTTATCTTGTTTTCGTCTATGATTCTCCTTAATATATGGACACACCAATTTACCTGAAAATTCGTATGTGATTCTTCTAAAAAGGTTAGTTGGAATACGACACGCGGTTCCCACAGTTCTTAACACATGGATACATCTCTCGTACCGAACTTTGTTATGCGGATTAGTGTTCTATTGTCTATGACGGAACTTTAGCGGGTCGTATTGGGATATTAGCATCGATTGTATTCGCAGCCCGCTGCGCGCTTTTCCTAGGCGTCGCTAAAATAATAAATGCGCCTTCACGGCCGCCTAGCTTAGCAGCTGATTCCCTTACGGCCGCGCGTTACCGATCATAGGACAACACAACACTAGTCCCAATAGAAAGTTCGAGTCGGGAGAGATGCCATTCATGCTGTGAAAAGCTGTACGAAACGCGTGTTCGTATTCAAATAACTTTTTAAGAATCACATACGATTTCAGCGCTAAATTGGTTGTGTCATATGATTAAGCCGGAGAATCATTTAGACGCAAAACAACGGTAAATGGTTTGAATATATTTTATTCACATATGATAGATTAGGTTACCAGTTCAAAAACTATGCACAAACGCTTGTTATAAACCGTGACATACTCTTCTCTATTTATCCACTCTTTGATATAATATATATATAAATGTTGTTCAGCCCGGAATTAGTTCGTACTCGCATAACTAGTTAAGAACTCCGCCAGGCCTAGGAGGAAAACTATAATGATTATTTTCAGATATCAGCAGCGTCTGAGGACGGTGGCGCTTCTGGCTTTAAAAAGTTAAAAATTCATAAAAAATTTCTATTCATCAATAGATGGCCGCGTGCGTACAAGATTAACATCACGTACTGTGTGATCCTATGGCGTATACCGTCTTAGCGGCCGCAAGTGGCCTAATCGCTAGAAATATTCCGTCTCCTACACCGCCGGATTCGGGCTTCGATGTCGTCAGCCTGGAAACCTTATTTTCCCTTTTTTCCTTTTTTCTTTACCTACCTCTTTAGTTGCTTTTTTTTAATATCTTTACTTTTATTTTTAATTTTTTATTAATTTTAATTGTCTTTGTAACTTTTGATTTTCTTATTATTTTTTAGCTGTTTGGGATGGCATGCGATGGACATGGCATGGCATCGCATGGCGATGCGATATGGGTCATGGGATGTCCGGATGCCGGCTGCGCTGCGATGGGATGCCGGGATGCGGATGCGTATGCGAATGGAATGGATGCCGATGCATGCATGGATGGATGCGATGGATTAAGATATGATTAGTTTAGATTTTTTTGGGTTTTTCTCTTTTCAACCAAGCGGTCACAAAATCTGGAGTACGCCACTGGCATTTTCCCCGGCAACGCCGCGTAATTCCCGCTAGTTATACATATATTTACATACATACATCTGTTTCAGGAGTGAGCGGCGCTGCCGCACCTTACCAGCAGCTCACGTTACCTTGCAGCAAGCATCTACACCTACCTGCCGTGCATCGCTTTTCAACCACGCTCACGGACACGTCGATCGCCACACGTCGCCCGCTAGCTAACGAAAACAAATTAAGTCGCCTCTGCGGAGGACGACGCGTCGCGTATAGACGCTGCTACTGCTCGTGCGTTGCGTGCGTCGCTGTGCGTGCGTGCGTAGAGTGCCAGGCGCCGCAGCTCACGCAGACGCAGGCGTAGCGGATCTCGCAGCGGTGACCGCGTGCGTATTTGCATCGGATTATCTAAACCAGCGCTAGGCTAGAGAGCCGAGCGAGGCAGATGCGGAGCCAGTCAGAGCATGAGAGATGAGAGATTTGAGACGATGGGAGAACACACACACACCTGCACTCAAACACGCATACGCAAACACCATTTAACATGCGACAATGCAGTACGTAGAAATCTAAAACAAAGATACAAAAACACGTTAGATTTCTGCTCACATCTGTAACACTGCAGTTCTCAGCATTGCTGGACGCAATCATTAACCTCTACACCTACACCTACACAGGTCTACTACTCCTGACTAGGAGGTCTAGAATACTCCTGACACTGATGTGTGCGTTGTGCGGACGGAATTATCAAGCAGGCTCGCTCATGCAAACAAATTATACATACACGCTTACAGCTCGCCTATAGCAACATAGATCGATACAGGCGTTGTTGGTGGGAACATTACATACGAGAATAGAGAACGTACGTGTTGGTTACACCTACAGGGCTGGTGCCAATTCACTACACTGCATATCTGTCCCCTCATACCCATCAACCATCAACCCATCAACCCATCAACCCATCAACTCATCAACGGGTCCCCCATCGCTTACACAACGACAGCCTATAATGGATTTCGCATTGTTAGCAGTTGCTTTAACCATGATGGCCCCCAGGATGAGGGAATATAATAGACAAACACAAAGCAAATTGCCGTAAATCGTCGATAGCTATGTCCTGCTGCTAGCATCGTAATTGGTGCCTGCATGCATGCAGCTGTAAATGACATGCGAGATGTGGGTATAGCTATAAAGAAATGCCCTATTTATAAGAGAGATCCGGGAATTTATATATTGTATTTGCAGCGGTCGATAGCGTGCGTGCAGACGTCAGGTGGTGGGTGTTGCATTCATGCCCGTATGAAGCCGTCACGATGCAATATAAAGGATATATGTTACCTCGTGAAGTCACTCAACTGCCTATGACCAAGCCATTAGTGTGAAAGCCCTATAAGTGCGTGGACTCGGGTTATTAGTGTAATGCATATATAGAGTTACTCGCTATACAAGCACGGTATATGGGCAGGTAATGTCTCCTGGTAAGGGTACTTGTTTAGTATGAACCACTTTACTGACAGTCTGCCTCTGCCATGTCTGGAGTATATGGCGCTGATGTAAACATAACTACTATCTAACCTAGCTACTTCAAAAACAGCTGTACTATCTATCAGGTTTCACTCAAAAAACAGTGCCAGTAACTCTCCAAGTGTTTATTGGAGACTCATATGTATTGGTCAAACACAGTCGCAAACTCGCAATCTTTGATTATAGTTTTATTTTTAAGTTCACACTGAACGAAACCACAGGCACTTGGAACGTCTCAATTAAATATAATAATGGTAAATAAACACGAAATGTATTTACTACCAAAGTCTTAATGTTTCTCTACTCTATTTCGCCTATTATTGCCGATAATTACCCTAAATACCGGTCAAATGCTCATCTGCAACACACAAGTACACCGCACGCCCGCCCTGTGCACAAACAACATTAATAAGAGACCATGTTGTTTGTGCACAGGGCAGGCGTGCGGTGTACTTGTGTGTTGCAGATGAGCCTTTGACCGGCATTTACAGGTAATTATCGGCAATAATAGGAGAAATAGAGTAGAAAAACATTAAGACTTTGGTAGTAAATACATTTCTTGTTTACATTTACATTTTAATAAGACAGACGGTCCAGCATCCAAGTGCCTAGCTGTGGCTGTGAACCTGCATACTGAAGCAGACTGCAAATTCTTCAATCTTGAAAGCATGTGCATTCAATATATTTATTAAAATCATACTTATTATTTGCTGGAAGTCTAATTATATCGGTCTATATTGATGAGTGCTTCCGTCTGTTACACAGAAAATACTAAATTTATATTAATGGCGTCAGACTTAGCACCTATACCGCCATCTACCGAGCAGAACCTGTAGAATAGCTGAAGTTTCTCATAATAATTATTACGTCAAAGGCACGACATAACGCAAATGGTCATAAATATTATGGTTATATGGTTATGCAGGCACACTTTGCATGTCTATTTTGTCGCGCGTAGTAGTCATATGTTACGAAAATATGTCACATTTTATGAAATTAATAGTGGAATAAAGCAAAGGCAAATGTGGCATATGCCTCTGCCTTGCCCCCTGATGCACCCTACTCGCTCAGACCGCGCCAGTTCGTCTGAAAGTGCGTGTTATGAGTGGGCGGACTGGAACTACTACGACCCACTTTATAAAGCTTAGTGCTGCGACCCTGGCTATATCTCAATCAGCTCTAACAACTAGGGTATTGGTGCACTGGTATAAGCAATGCAATCAGGAACCCGACCACTGCATTTTCTGAACATATAATCATCCTCGAACTAAATAAAGCAGCGAGATCATTTGAGATTTTCATTTAGCAAACCAACAATTCCAACAACCTGTTGCTGGAAACTGCCTACCCAATTCCCTACTTCTGCTGCGGGAAAAAACTCGCCCCGCAAAAAATTGTCTTGACCCCGCGCGGCCATGTTGATGCTAATTTATTCTGTTGCCTGTATGAAATCGCGGTACCTTTGTCATGGAACTCGTTTCGTCCACACTGCGGGCCGCATTCAATCCAGAAACATATATAGGGGGGCTTATACTGTACTACTTACTTACTATTCCGCTCCTCACACCCAGAC